ATCCCTTCACTGAAAGCCTGCAACCAACACCAGAGGCAGCAGCCAGGGCTGAGATCAGGTAGATCAGGAATTTAGGAATGTACTCCAAAGAAATCAGGTGGGTTGATTTTTGATTAGCAAAGAGGTGGCTGAACCCCTGAATACGCAGTGCATTTATCATCCAGGTTAGCTGTAACTCTCATGTTTTCCTCAGGTAAATCTCCTGGCTGTTTTGTAAAACATGACAAAAATGTATTCCAAAGAGGGAGGACTCAATTAAAAATAAATACATACAGGGAGATAAAAAAAAGAAGTTGACTGAGCTCCAAGCTGAGCAAAAGAGAAAGCACTGCCATCTTGTCTCCAAGCAAGATCTCAACAAAATGAATTCTACTACTGGCAAGATTTTGATGAGATTAAACTGACTACAGCACCCTATATATAAAGGAGGAGCAGCTCTCCAATTTCTCTTTTAGGCCCCTGGAGCTACCTCTGTCCATAAAGGAAAAAAACAAGTTGTCATTCCTAAAAAAAAACCCCATACAGGGGAGAAAGGCAGAGAGCCATGGGTTTATGAAATTCAGAGGGGGAGCTGGATCAGGGCACTGCTTGCACTGGAGCATTTGAGCAATCATTATCCCCAATCTAGCAGAGGTCAGATTCTCTGCTAATTATGTTCTCTCACAGAGGGGTGGGTGTGTGCACACGTGTGCCAGGCGAGGACAAAGAGAGGAGCTGACAGAAATCAGTCTCACTGCATTGCATCTGACAAGAACAGAGGATATTCCCCTTCCTACTGTCTGATGCTATTTCAAGCCTCATTATGAGAAAAATCTCCTGTTTAATATGGTCTTTTCATTGAATTATCTTCTTTTCATTTTTGCCCACCTCTCACAAACGCTGCAAATTACCTGCTTGGATCTCATTAGCCTGGAAAGGAGTCACTCCTTGTAAACACACTTTGCATCACTCTGCATTATCCAAGGGCTGCAGGAACATTTACAATAGGCAAAGTTGAAAGATCCCTGACAGGAGAGGGAATGAAGCCACTGACAAGTCAGTTTGCAACTGGATGTTCATTATCCCCTCTCCCTCATTCTGCATCTGTCACTGAGCTCTCAGCAGGCCCTGCAGGAAGGCCTGTGAAGCTCTAACATTCCTGTTTCACCAGCCTGCTCAAAACTGGGATGGGAAAATGGATCATCCACCTGGAGAACATGCACTTCAGTCATTAGCCACATTTCCATACAGGAGCCATGCCTTACAGTGCTGCCAGGTGACAATAGTGGAGATTCTTTTTGTAGTATATGGTAGAGATAATTCATGCTATATATGTATAAAATATTGTAAAAGTCCAAGGTTATGTCTTTGACCACTCTGGCTGGGAGCAGAGTCCTATTTTTATTCAGCTAGGTACCAGACAGTGCTAAGATAATATCAGATCTGTTCCCCTATGGATGGGACAGTCCTGGGCCATCATCGATGATTTCCCTGGCATCTGCACCTGGGAGAGAGCATCTAAACCCTCCTGGACCATGGTTAATGGAATATCTCAGCTACCCACAGGACCTGCACCTGGAATGATTACACCTGCCATGCTCAGGAACTGGCCTCACCCTGCTCCATGTGGACACAGACTCTGCCTGGATGCTCAGACATTTTGTCTGGACCTTGGACCTGCCTTTGTCTGTTCCTGCACATGTATGGATCCGGTTCTACATGTGAAGAGACACAAAGAAAGTTGGGTCATCCCTGCCTCAGGCAGGATAAACTGTATATAAGGTGGCTGCTGGAAGCACTGGGGTGAGCCCCTGGGCAGACACTGGCACTCTGTCAGTCTGGATGGATCCTGGTTCACCCAGGGCTGAAACCCGGGTTCAACGCTGCCCGAGGCTCTGGTGGTCTTTCAAAATTCTATTTTTGTTTGTTAACGATCTAATAAATCTTTGTTAATTTTTTTTATAAATTTGGCTACCAATTTGATAATTTATAACATTTATATTTCATGGCCAGAATTTGCTTTCTGACCTCAAGGGTAATCTGCCTGCAATGTTTTATATTTTTTGTTCTATCTTCTGTTGGGTACACTTTTTGTGTATTCTTTTCTGAGAAAATAGCTGTGAAAACAGAAGCAATGCTTCAGAGAAAAGCCTACTCTGTTGCCTGTAGCTTTTTTGGACAGTAAATAGTGGGTATCATTAGATATCTGACTTTGTCAAAAAGTATTATTGAAAATAAACATTGGAAAAGTCCTGTCATTTCAGCACATGGGGTGTCTGACTTTGGGAAAGGGGGGAATGGGATGGACAGCTCTGAACTGACTTTGGGGAGAGGGCAATGGGATGGACAGCTCTGAACTGATTTTGGGGAGAGGGCATGGACAGCTCTGAACTGACTTTGGGAGAGCACAATGGGATGCACAGCTCTGAACTGACTTTGGGAAGGGGAGAATGGGATGGACAGGTCTGAACTGATTTTGGGAGGAGGAATGGGATGCACAGCTCTGAACTGATTTTGGGGAGAGGGGAATGGGATGGGCAGCTCTGAACTGACTTTGGGGCAATGGGATGGACAGGTCTGAACTGACTTTGGGAAAGGGGGCAATGGGATGCACAGCTCTGAACTGACTTTGGGGCAATGGGATGGACAGCTCTGAACTAACTTTGGGAGAGGACAATGGGATGCACAGCTCTGAACTGACTTTGGGAGAGGACAATGGGATGCACAGCTCTGAACTGACTTTGGGAGAGGGGGGAATGGGAGAGACAGCTCTGAACTGACTTTGGGAGAGGACAATGGGATGGACAGCTCTGAACTGACTTTGGGAGAGGACAATGGGATGGACAGCTCTGAACTGACTTTGGGAGAGCACAATGGGATGCACAGCTCTGAACTGACTTTGGGAAAGGGGGGAATGGGATTGACAGCTCTGAACTGACTTTGGGAAAGGGGGGAATGGGATGGACAGCTCTGAACTGACTTTGGGGCAATGGCATGCACAGCTCTGAACTGACTTTGGGAGAGGACAATGGGAATTACTGCTCTGAACTGAAGGAGCCTGGGGAGGACCACCACAGACCAGGCACAGTGAGAGCTGTCTCATGTGAGTTTATCAAATCTCAGCTGAACTGATGATGCCAGACCACAGAGACAGGCTTGTATTGCAATGAATTATCAAAGCAAAGGAACTTTCCTTATTAAGCAAAACATAAATTATGTATAAAACTTTAAAATATACATCTCCACATATATTTACATAATGTTTCTTTTGAGTAACCTGTGAATCCCTCTGTCCTCTCTTGGGTGCACTAGGGAAGTTGTATTTGCTCTCTACTTCCTTTTAATTTGCCACAGCACTGAGACAAAGGAAAAGTATTGTAAAAACATCAGAGAAAAACTGGATTTGATGGGTAGAAGGGGACCCAGGACTCTGCTCTCACTGCCAGGTCTGGCAGTGCAATTCTGTGAGCTGCTGAGAAGCCCAATAAACCTCAGAGCTCTCCACTCACTACATTGCAAGGGAATGACAAAGCTAAATTAAAACCATGTTTGTAAGGAGCTGTGACATTTTTTGCTGAAGGTGCTGTGTAATTGTGAAGTTGGTTGCAGTGGCTTCCCAGCTGCCACAGGGCTCAGATAAGCCAGGATGATGATGGTGACAGGCTGACATCCAGCTGCCTTCCACTGCTACCTGTACAGAGCATTTCCTCACTACCTCCTCTGGTTTCACTCTCCTCTTCCAAAGAGATCTCACAGCCCTGAGACTGACCTCAGCTGACAGCTATGAAGGGCAAGCTCTGATGTGTTTAGCTGAATGTAACCCATAAAGGCTGGCTCTGGGGAAGAAATGGACCTCTAAATGTGACAAAGGGATGTGGAGAGAGAGTGCTACAGATTTCACACTTTCACAGGAAAAAAAAAATCAAGCATCTGTTCCAGTGATATGCACAATTCAGCAAAAATTGCTAGCTGTGTGCCTTCAGGCTTAAATTTGCACAACGAAATGTATCCTTTACAAAGGTATTTCTTTTAATGCCTGCTCAGTTCAGTTTTATTGGATTGGCCTATAGAGGACACCATCTGGTATCTGTCATCCAAATCTACACAGACATGCTATCGATAAAATCCCCATTTCCAAAATGTGGGTTAGTTAAAAGTAGGGCCAGATTGCTGGCTGGTACAAATTGGGTTGACTGATGTAGCTATCCATGCTTTTACCAGCAAAGGATCTGACCTACAAAATCCCCAATTTAGATCCTCTGTTGGGACAGGGCTTTCTTTATATTCTGTGTTGTAAAGCATGTGGCACAGAGGACACAGAGCCATGAATAAAACACTCAAGGATTGTGATGGTACACATAATAAATAGTAATCTAATTGCAGCAACAGAAAGATTTCTGTAGTCATTGCTCTGTCAGAACAACTCATGTGTGTCACTGGTGAATGAGCAGCATTCTCCCATGGAGAAAAACACTCTCCACAGGGCTGCATCTCAGGCCCTTCCACAGCACTTTAGGTAGAGCAACAAAGGCAGAGCTTATGCTATTGTTGGCCATGTTATATCAATTCATTATACATAACTGAGTCTCTCTAGACACCCAAATACTTCTCATAAAGACAGTATGTAGCCCAAAGAAATACATTCTTTCCCTCCACCACTTGGGGTAAAAATGTTACTCACTTCTCAACTATGCAGAACATCTTAACTTCATTAAATGGCCTTCAACTGTTTCCAAAGAGCTGAGTGTTTGCACACAGAAAGACATTGTATCAATCTTTAAGAAGTTTTCTGAAACAGGGCAGGAGACCTAGGTCTTCCTCTCCTGTGATTTGCAAAAACCCCACACCTTGTAGGGGTTGTAAAGTCAGTGTGCATCTTTATTCAGTGCCGGGGCATGCGGGATCTCTTCCTACTCTAAGTTAATTTTCTCTTCCTACTCGAAGTTAATTTTCTCTTCCTACTCGAAGTTAATTTTCTGACCCCCCCATGTCTCAGCTGAAGCCCCAAAGGGAAGGAGATTTTAGCCAGAAGCCATCCCAGGAGCAAATCCCCCAGCTGTACTCACATCACTGAGCCTCTCCCGGGAGCTGCTGCGCTGGAAGCCCTTGGACTCGCCGCTGGCGCTCTCGCTGTCGCTGTCCCGGCAGCTGTTCTGGCCTGCCTTGAGCTGCACACAGGAGACACAAAGACAGCAAGGGTTGAGCTGGTTCAGGTGAGAGCCCTTGTCCCAGTGTCCTTTAACCCCTTCCAGCAGCAGCAGCGTGGCCGTGGCTCCGTGGCAGTGCCAGGGCTCTGTGTCCCTGTGCCAGGGCACAGCCCAGGGCACCATGGACAGCCCAGGAGCTGCAGCTGCTGCAGGCACGAGCTCACTCATGTCCCAACAACACCCAAGGCAATCACAGTTTGAGACCTTCCTCTGAGACCTTCACCCTTCTGATTTCTCAAGGTATTTCTGCCATGGATGAAGCTTTTGGTTTCCATCACAATGCAGCACTCACAGCATCAGTTCCCCCCTCATTACAGCATAGGAGCATTGAGGACCTGAGATCAATGGGAGTCTCCCCAGGGGAAGAGGGGTCACCACTCCAGAGAAGCCTTTCTTTTGCTGGACTAGCCCTGAACCACACTGCCTGGCACTCTAAACAATTTTTGACTAACAAAGCTCAATGTTCATAAAACAACAGGATCTACTTAATAGGTATCAAACTGCTTTTGTATTTCAAACCACCTTTAATGAACTTTACTGGCATTGTAATAAAAAAGCTACAAAAAAAACCCTAAACTACATTTTCATTACAACTGAGAACACATCTGCTCTCTCTGACACTTTGGACTGTTGAGGTCACCACATTACACAGCAATGTACTGAGAGAAACATTCACAGACACCCATTACACATGTCCACAAGCACATGCACACCTAGAGAGCAAGAGGAAGAGATGATCCACGTCCCCTGCAATGCTGAAAATGCACACCTTTGTTTTCAACTATCCTTCCCTATATTTTGCTTGAATGCATTAAAATTTTCATTTAGCCTTGCTGATGCTTTGAACTAACTCTGGTGGTTAATACTGGCACAAAATCTCTTTCAGAAATTTAGACTTAAGATCACACACATAAATACTGGAAGCAGAGGTAAATGCAGAGAAAATATTTGGTGAGGTACCTAATGAAATATTTTATGTGAGACCTACTACACTTAGCAATATCCATATAACAAACACCAAACAACTCCTGCTAACATTCTAATTGTTAATATGATGATGGTAGGTTCCATTCACATCCTACTGGAGCAGGTATTCATTCATCTCCATGCCATGACTGGAGACCAAAGGTTCCTCTTCCAACACTCCCCATCACCCTTTCCCCCCCTCTTTCTTCTCTCTCTCATTTATTTCCAGTTCTCCAGAAACAAGCACACACAGAAATTCACACAAATGCACTTTTACAGGGGCACACAAATAAAACCTGCACTTCTGCTGATGTTTTCCTACGTGTACACTCTGTTCACCCCAGCCACAGCTGCTCCCTCCCAGGGTCACTGAAGGAGCACAAAAAGCATCCTCACCCTCAGGTTATCACTTTCCCCCTAGCACTGCCAGAGCAAACTGCATCTGCAAGTTTGGTATTTGTGTGCTACTTCTCCTTGATCCCTTACTCCCCTCACCACTAAAGGGAAGCTTTGGGTGCTCTCTATCAGTCAAATCAAACTGAGGACACAAAGTCCATGAAATTAAAAGTTCCAGCACACAACTGAGTGGCAATGCATGAGCACAACTGCAAAAAACGGCACAGGCAAACTCTCAGCCCAAAGAAAATGCAGCAGAAGGACCAGAGCTATTTGTCAGACACTTACAATTCAATAAATAAACGAAATATTCCACAGCTCAGCCAGAACATTTCCAGTAAAATGATTTTTATTTCCAATGGAACGGTTTATCAGTCAGATCTAAGAGATCTTGGGAGCAGCTCTTGGAGGCAGAGGGGAGGATAACGAATTCAAGAAGTCTTACACTTCATCTATAACTCACTGATCTTATCTAGGACCTCCATCTCCTGTAATTTTATGGTCCCAAGTTTAACATTTACCCACCCAAAGGAAAATGGATCAAGTTTCCCTCACTTGGTCTTTTGTCAACATCCACCCAATGATGGAAAAACTCTTATTGCAAGTGGGGTGTTAAGAATTTTTTTTCCAGTCTCAGATTTTATTTCTAGAACCTAAATTTAGTTTGTACACAATCTTCACACATTAGTTATTTGCTAACTAATAATAACAGCCCAGTTTTATCATTCTTCTGCATCACGAATTCCAGCTATTTACAGAGAAGAGAAGAAAAACCCAGCAGGTGTCATTTTTCTAGACACAATTTACAAGAAGTAAGAGAACATGATGAAGACATCTGAGCCTGAAACTCTGTAGAAAAAAAAAGTGACTGGGACTGCAGGGACCAGGCAGCAAACTCAGAAATAGGTCCAAGTTAAGATTTATAAGCTTTCCATATTTTCCTTTCTTTTTTTCCAAGTTGAGTTTCTCCATGTGCCAAACTGTTGAGGGTTTGCATTTTATTCCAGAACCCATCAATCTGTGTTAAATTAAAAAAGTAAAGCATGGAAATGTGCCCGTTGTCTTCTCTTAAGAACCTGAAGTTACACTCAAACCCACATGAGAACACTATTTGTGGACAGGCCATGGGTCATTTCATCTCAATCTATTTGCACAGATTCAACTGCTAAAAACAATGCTGAAACAACACAGGGCTGCTCAAAAGGCCCACAGAAAACAGAGTGGATCTTTAGTTACACTCTGTGCATCTGGTTCATCACCTGGCACACAGGAACCCTAAAATCAGTTTCCCCATGGAAATGCAACTTTCCTTGGAAAAAATTTGAAGTGCAATGTTGAGAGCTCTTGTTCCTCTATTGTTTCTAGCAGGGTACCCTGTGGTGGTGTTCACAGGGGCCTGAGGATGAGGGAAGAGATGAGGATCTGACTCCTTGTTTCAGAAGGCTGATTTATTATTTTATGATATATATTATATTAAAACTATACTAAAAGAATAGAAGAAAGGATTTCATCAGAAGGCTGGCTAAGAATAGAAAAGGAATAGAATGATAACAAAGGCTTGTGTCTGACTGAGACAGTCTGGACAGCTGGGCTGTGACTGGCCATTAATGAGAAACAACCACATGAGCCCAATCCCAGATGCCCCTGTTGCATTCCACAGCAGCAGATAACCATTGGTTACATTTTGTTCCTGAGGCCTCTCAGCTTCTCAGGAGGAAAAATCCTAAGGAAAGGATTTTTCAGAAAATATCATGGCTACAGTAGCCCAATGAAAATCCCATTATGCCTGTCAGTGCAGGGCTGGGACCGGACTGGGTGATCCTTGGGGGTCCCTTCCCACTCAGGTTATTCTGTGCTTCTACAAAGGTCTCACTGAGGAACTTCCCACATTAACACAGCATTAATCTTCTAATTTGCACCAGGCAAGGAGTGGAAAAGGGTTTACAAAAAGTGTCTTTGTGCTTCCACTGCACAGTGGGAATGAATTTATCCATGAAGGGATCCATCTAAAGGGTCTCACAAAGAGGAAATACAGACATTTTCTAGACTGAAAGCCCAAAACCCAAAAAACTCAGAGTGTCTCTGACTCACAAGGAGCATGTGCAGTCTCAGGGACTCCCCTAGGGAATCATGGGGTACATGCAGAAAAAGCACCTCAAGACCACTTGCCCAGGCTGAACCACACAGGACCCAATCCTGGGGCACACCCACTGCTCCAAAACTTTTCTAGATTTTGGTCATTCTTAGCATTGCATTTTTTGAGATCTTTCATTGCACTACAGATCCTGTTTGTTTGTAATGCTTTTGAATCTGTAGGAGGACACCAGAAGTCAAGCAGAAGTGCATAAAGTCATAGCTACATTTCTATTAAAGGGAAAGGCCAAAAAGCAGATTTGGAAGGGAGGTTGCTGGCTGAGGGCTTGGCAGAGGGTTTTATTTCTGATTTTTTCACCACACCTGCCCCAACAGAGAGGAACAGGTGTTCCCTGCTGCCCAGAACTGGACTGTTGGGAGGATTTTTCCCTCAGGGCAGTTTCTCCAGTGGGTGATGGTGGATTCCACTGCACCACAGCCAGGGATGGAGGAAGGAAGCTGAGTTGGGGGGGCACAGGGTGGCATTGCAATTTTTGTTGTTGTTCTGACTAATCAAATCTATTTTTATGGACAACAAATTGAATTTTTTCCCCCAAGTGGAGACTGTTTTGCCCATGACAATAATGGGTGGCTTCCTTGCCTTTACCTCACAAACTTCTTCCCTCCCCTGCCCTGCTGAGGAGGGGTGGGAGAGGGGCTGGGGGAGTTTGGCCTCAGCCATGATGTGGTTTTTGAGTCACAAAACTTCAGTCACAACTCTGCTGCCCTGCAGAGTGCTGAGCAATGGAGGCAAAGATGGGGACTGGCATGAGGGACCCAGGCAGGGAGAGAGGGACACTGAGAGCACAGAGAGGAGAGGCACAAGATATGGAGCACCAAGAGGGAACATTTGATGAAAAAAGAGAGACTTGCTCAGGCCTGAAGGCCACACAGAAACCATCCAGAAATTATGAATAAACCAAAATAGATGCAGAAACATCACCATGAAACTGCTGTCACAGCAAGTGCTAACAGGAACTCTTCTGTCAGCCCACAGAGAGATTTTCAGGTGACTTGGAATCTAACAGAACTATTTTTGCAGCAGGGAAACACTCAGCCCTACTTTGTGACAGTGAAAGTGCAAACTGAATATTCATCTGTGTCCAGGGAAAGCAGCTCTGCTGTGCTCCTTCTGCCACTCAGAGTTATAGGGTAAAGCAGAGCTAAACTCTCAGGTTTAGGAGTAGGACAGGCCTAGAGCTGCTGTGCCAGCCAGACACTCCTGTGACAGGAGAGGAGGGACAGAAGCCATAACCACTCCTAAGGGCAATCCATGGCAGCAGAGCTCTCTGTGGCCTCTTCTCTCAGCCAGGACAAGAAGGAAGGACAGAGCTGATCGTGTTAAGAGTGTAAGGGAGGATGGAAGGGCAGCTGAGCCCCAGACTCCAGGGAGCATCAGCTTGGGATCACAGTTGGCTGTGCTGGATCCCAAAGCCACTTTAGATAATTCCATTGTAGCACATAAA